CTTCAGGAAAGAAGGGAGTGGCACAAAATATTAAAAGTGATGAAAAGCAAGGAACTACAACAAAGACTAATTTACCCAGGAAGGCTATCATTTAAAATTTAAAAAAAAAAAAAAGTAAAGTGCTTCCTAGACTGGAAAAAAATTAAAGAGTTCATTTCCTCCTAACCAATATTACAAGAAATATTAAAGAGTGTTCTTCAAGTACAAGAAAGAGGAGGAAAAGAGAATAAGAAGAAAAAAGAGGAGAAAGAGAAGAAGTGGTGGAAGAGGAGGAAGATGAAGAAAAAACAGAATTACATCAATGAAATGAAAAAAAGCTTGGGTAGTGATATTTATATCAGATCAAACTCACTTTAGATAAAGAAGAACACTATAATGATAAAGGGAGCAATCTAACAAGAGGTTCTAACCCTTGTAAGCACTTTTGTAACCTATAAAGGAAAACTTAAATATAAAATAGCAAATCTTGGGCCATAATGGGAGAGATCAATAATAATACAGCTATAGTAGGGATTTTAATACCCTTTTGGCATCAATGGATAGATCTTCCAAACAGGGAATCAACAAGAAAACAGCGGCCTTAAAAGACAAAATAGATCAGATGGATATAATTTATATCTTCAGAGCATTTTGCCCCAAACAGCAGAATATACATTTTCTTCAACTGTACATGGAACATTTTCTAGAACAGACCACATCTTAGAACACAAAACAATAACTCAAAAGCTTAAGAAGATTTAAATCTATCAAGCATTGTTTCTGACCCTAATGGTATAAAACCAAAAATCAATCACAAGAAAATAAAAACCCAAACTCATAGAAACTAAATAACATGTTATTAAACAATAAATGGTTAACAATAAGATTCAGGAAGAAATGGAAAGATACCTTGAAACAAATGAAAATGAGAACACAGCAACCCAAAATCTATGGGACACAGTAACACTAGTCCTAAGTGAAAAAGCATTGCAGGTCTACCTCAAGAAATAAAGAAAAATCTCAAATACACAATCTAACATTACAGTTATAAGATTAGAAGGAGAATAACAAACAAAGCCCAAAGTGAGTAAAAGAAAGTAAATAATAATGATCAGAGCAGAAATACATGAAACAGAGCCTAAAAATAACACTATAAATATTGAGACCAAGAGCTTGTTCTTTGAAAAGAAAAGCAAGATTAGTAAACTTTTAACCAGACTCATCAAGGAAAAAAGAAAGAAGACACAAATAAACAATATCAGAAATGAAAGAGAAGTAAACAAATGACACCACAGAAATACAAAGGGTTATTAGAAAATATTATGTACAAATATATGCCAACAAATTGAAGAATCTAGAAAAAAATGGATTAATTCTTAGAAACATAAAATTATCCCAAAACTGAATCAAGAAGAAACAGAAAATCTGAACAGATTAATTACAACTAATGAATTTGAAGCAGTAATCAAAGAGCCCTCATAAAATCAAGGGAAAAATAGCCTCTTTTATAAATGGTGTTGGGAGATCTGGACAAGTACATGCAAAAAAATAAAACTAGGTCACCAACTTACACCATACACCAAAATAAACTCAAGATGCATAAAAGACTTAAGTATAAGTCCTGACACCATAAAAGTCCGAGAGGCAAATATAGGCAAGGAAATTTCAGATATTACATGCAGCAATATTTTCATCTATACATCCTCTAGGGTAAGGGTTATAAAGGGAATAATAAACAAATGGGACTGCATCACATTAAAATACTTCTGCAAGGCTAAAGAAAACATCAACAAAATTGAAAAGGAACCAAGCATATGGGAAAGCATATTTGCCAAGGACACCTTGTCAAGGGTTTGATCTCCAAAACATATAAAGAACTCACATGACTCCAACTCAAGAAGACAAACCAATTAAAAATGGGCAAAGGACCTGAACAGACATTTCTCCATGGAGAACATACGGAGGGCCAAGAAACACATGAAAAAATGCTCAACATCACTAGCCATTAGAGAGATGCAAATTAAAACCACAATGACATACCACTTCACACCTGTCAGAATGGCCATGATAAACAAATCAACAAACAACAGGTACTGGTGAGGGTGTGGAGAAAAGGGAACCCTAGTACACTGTTGGTGGGAATGCAGACTGGTGCAACCACTGTGGAAAACAGTATGGAATTACCCCAAAAAGCTGAAAATGGAACTGCATTTTGACCAGCCAATTCCACTGCTGGGATTATTATACTCTAGGAATCCTGAAACACCAATTCAAAAGAACCTATGTTCATAGCAGCACCATTTACCATATCCAAATCTGGAAACAGCCTCAGTGCCCATCACTAAATGAATGGATCAAAAAACTGTGGGACAGTAACACAATGGAATACTGGGCTGCAGAAAGAAAGAAGGACCTCTTACACTTCACAACAGTATGGATTGAACTGGAGAGCATTATGCTAAGTGAAATAAGCCAGAAGGTGAAAGACAAATACCATATGATCTCACCTATAAGTGGAACCTAATCAATGAAACAAACAAATGAGCAAAATAGAACCAGGGACTTGGAAATAAAGAACAAATTGACAGTGACCAGAGAGGAGTGGGGAGGGGGTTAATGGGGGAAAGGAGGGGGAAGGGGAAAACAAAGGAACACAAATAGAGGAGTTATGTGCAAGAAAAATGGGAGGGGTATACTGTGGGAGTGGTGAGGGACGGGTTAGGGGAGAGCAATAGGGACAAAAGCAGGACAACTGTAACTAAACAACAATTGAAAAAAAAAAAGTAAGCTGCAAAAGAAAAGGAAAAAAAATCCCTCAAAAATCAAAAGTCTGGAACCAGATGGTTTCACAGGTAAATTTTACCAAACATTCAAAGAAGAACTAACAACTATCCTCCTCAAACTATTCCAGAAATTCAAGAGGAGTGAAGATTTCCAAGTTCATTTTACAAACAAGCATTAGCAAATTCCAAATCCAGATAAAGACACTAAGAAGAAAGAAAAATTTAGTTCAATATCTCTAATGAACATAGATGTTAAAGTCAAAATACAAGCAGGAGGAAGGGATTATTGTGAAGCATATGAAAGGGTTTTTTTTTTTCGATTACAATTTACATTCAATATTATTTTGTCTTAGTTTCACTTGTACAGCATAATAGTTTGACAATTAAGTAACTTTACAAGGTGTTCCCCCTGATATTTCTATTATCCACCTAGCACCATACATAGTTATTTCAATATAGTCAATAGACTATATTTCCTATGCTATACTTTACAAGCCATGGCTGTTTTGTATCTACAGGTTTGTATTTCTTACTCTCTTTACCTTTTTCACGCAGTCCCTCAAACTCTCTGGCAACCATCAGTCTGTTCTCTGTATCTATGAGTCTGTTTCTCTTTATTTTTCATTTATTTATATTGATCTTTTTAAATTTTTATTTCCTTTTATTTATTTACTTTTAGAGAGAGGGGAAGGGAGAGAGGAAGAGGAACATCAATGTGTGGTTGCCTCTTGTGTGCATCCTACTGGGGACCTGGCCTGCAATCCAGGCATGTGCCTTACCTGGGAATCGAACCAGCGACTCTTTGGTTCACAGGCCGGCACTCAATCCGCTGAACTGCACCAGCCAGGGGTTTTTTTAAAATAAAGTAAAATAGTCATTCTAGAAACCAAACAGAACTTCCAAAATTTAGAAGAAAAAAACATAATAATTAAAAAGTTATTAAAAATGTTTCTTTTTTAATTTATTTTCAAATACAGTTTACAGTCAATATTATTTTATATTAGTTTCAGGTGTCCAGCATAGTGGTTAGACAATATACACTTTAAAAAATGCCCCACCCCTGATATTTCCAGTGCTCAACTAGCACCATGCAAGTGTTTCCTTTTGTAGAATCTGTGGACTAGGTTATTCAGTAAACAATCCAGTAACTAAATAAGTTGGAGTTATTCACACAGATCATATCCCCTGCCACCAAAATTCCTTTTCCCTCAGCTTTATTGAGATATTATTGACATATGACATATGTAAGTTCAAGGTTTGCAGTGTATTGATCTGATACACATCTCTATTGCAAAACTAAATGTGCCTTACCTTTCTAAAATCATCAGATAACTAATGAGAAAGTATAAAATTAACAAGAAAAATGGTAACCCTGAAAATAAACAAACATAGAAGTTGTATTTGTCTTAATGGCTATTGTTTATTTTGGAAAACTTAACTCGTAATTTTATTTTGAGGACATTACTGGTTTAAATAAAAAGGCCGAAGGTGAAATAATAATAATTATAAAATACTTCAAACTGAATGTTTTTGAAAATACTGCATATCAAAATTTGAGGAATGCAGTCAAAGCACTAGAGTTAAATTTATTGTTTTAAATGCATGTATTAGAAAAAATTTACTGTAACCAAAATGACATATTGTAATACATTGGGTACAGAAACAGCTATGCAAACTGAACTGGCTGCTCTTTATCTAGACATCAAAAGGGATTTATTAAATGTAGAGCAACTACATTTAATTGAGGTAGTATTATTTTAGTAAAGTATATAACTTTAAGAATGGTAAGACATTATACAAATAAGTTATTATCTATTAGTAATGATTTTTTTCAGAATAATCAGAAAACATCTTGCAAAATACATCACAGTTTGAATTGATTTCTTCTTCAAAGGCTTTGTGTAAATCCACCCATCACAGTCATTGGCATTTCAATGCCAGCTGTGCCAGCTACATGATATTGGACAAATTACTTACCTTTCTGAATGTAAGGTTTGACATCCAAAATAATTGCACAGCTTCGTTATGACAAATAAAAGGTACAATATATGTGCTCAGGAGTAAAGGAAAATTATTATCAACTTAAGAAGCCAAAATCATTATCAACAAAACAAGTAATACCAAGTGTTGGAGAGGTTGTGGAGAAAAAGGAACCCTCTTTCACTGCTGTTAGGAATGTAAACTGGTAAAGGCAATGTTAAAAACAGTATGTTGCTCTTTCACCAGGGACCCATCAAGATGGGCCGCGTTTGCACCAAGACTGTGAAGAAGGTGGCCTGGGTCATCATGGAGAAGTACTACACACACCTGGGCAATGACTTTCACACCAATAAGCACATGTGCAAGGAGATCGCCATTATTCCCAGGAAAAAGGTTTGGAACAAGGTAGTGGGCTATGTCACACATCAGATGAAGCAGATCCAGAGAGGCCTTGTGAGAGGCATCTCCATCAAGCTTCAGGAAGAGGAGAGAGAGAGAAGAGATAATTATGTTCCCAAAGTCTCAGCCCTGGATCAGGAGATCATTGAGGTTGATCCTTACACTAAGGAGATGCTAAAACTCTTGAACTTTAGCAGTCTGTCCAACCTGCAGGTCACTCAGCCTACAGTTGGGATGAATTTCAAAACACCACGTGGAGCTGTTTGAGCCCTTCTGCTGTAATATTATCAATAAACCCATTGACAACTTAAAAAAAAAAACACTATGTCGGTTCCTCAAAAAATTAAGAATAAAGTTACCATATGACCCAGCCCTCCCTCTTCTGGGTAGCTACCTGAAAAACTTGAAAACATTCATTTGCAAAAATATATGCAGCCCTAGTCACAGTGGCCAAGACACGCAGACAATCAAAGCTTCTTTCAATAGAGGATTTGATATATAAGATGTGGTGCATATATATAATGGAATACTACTCAGCTATAAGAAAAGATGAAATATTGCTATTTGCAACAACATGGATGAACCTTAACAATATTATATTATAGCAAATATTATGCTAAACAAAATAAGTTAGGTAGAAAAAGCTAAGAATCATATGATTTCACTCATATGTAAGACATAAAATTGAAACTCACAGACACAGGCAACAGTATGGTGCTTACCAGAGGGAAGAAAAGTTGAGAGGGGACACAGTGAAAACATAAAAATAAAAGAAAGCAAAGAAAGATAACATCAATCTAAACATAATAGCACTGGACAATTTAGGTACTAATTCATTTTTATGGAGTTTTTTTTTAACTTTCTAGTTAATACTTAAATAATGCTTTATCTTACTTGTTTTCTTATATTTGCAAATGATCAACATTTTCTATCAACATTTTCTAAAGCATCTTAAGAAACTAAAACATTAGCTCATGTTTTTAAAGACTGAGAGATTGTAGAAGGACATTAGAAAAAGAATGTCTCATAAATGATTAATCCTGATTCAAATTAAGTAAAGCATGTGAACAGAGAAAATTAATAGCAAGGAAATAATGTTTTTTATTTCTATTTTTTTAAATGTCATTTGTGTAAAATAACAAGAGACCAACCACAGTTTGTTTGGCTACCTCATCATTTTGGTAACTGCAAATCTGTTCATTTAAAATGTAAAAGGTTGAGATTTTTAGTCAATTGCTTAAAATGTTAATGTTGTGTTAATCTTGGAGCAAATCATTTCCTTTTTAAATAGATTGATTCTGTCCAGGAGAGAGTTGTAATCTCTAATGATGTGATAAGTCTTTTCGAAATACTTTGAATAGCTGTGGAACCAAAGGGTCTGTCACTGAAAGAAATCAGTCAATAATTTCAGCAAAGTCTCAATATGAAATGTGTGTTGGTTGGTGCACACTAATTATACTTTGTTATAAATAACATTTATTTATGTTAATAACATGATTCTAAATGAATACAAATAACCATGGCAAAAAGAGAAATATCTCCCCTAGAAATTTCAATTATTCTTGGCAAGAATTTCCTGAGTTAAAATATCAACAGAAACAAGGAGCATTTCTTATAAGAATCAAAACACTAATATAGATGTAGAGAAGATTGGTGGTTACCAGAATGGTAGGAATCAGGGGGGAGTAAAATGTGAAAAGGGGGTCAATTTCATGGTGACAAATGGAAGCTCTCTAGATCTTTCATGGAAGTATGCTGTAGTGTATATATAGGTGTTGAATTATAATGCTGTACATCAAAGTTTTTATGTTATCAAACCATAAAACCTCATTAAACAGAAGAGATGTATATTTAGTCTGATGATGCAAACTTTAAAAAAATATTTTACCTGCCACAACATCTTTTTGGCCTGTCTGATTTGCTGTCATAATTAATTCCAACTCTTGTAAAATACTATAAAGATGTCATGCTTAAACACAGAAGAAACATAAAATATTGTTTCTTATGTTATAAAAACCATCCCTCAATACACACACATGAACAGTAACACACATACACACACAACTTATGCACTAGGCATTCTAGTACTAGGGACAGTGGTAAAGATGACCGGTGAACTGACTTATTCAGGACAGAGTTTCCAACATATAAATCAAAGAATATTCCCTTGCAATATTTGACACATACTAATATAAAAAAATGCATTGTTTATCTGAAGTCCAAATTTAATAAGCCATTGTTTTTCTATTCTGCTTGTTGTGGCTACTGTTTTACTTCTGTTTTATTATTTTTTTCTTTTACTTTGGCTAAATCTGACAATCTTAACTCAGAAATTTAATTTCTATTTTGGCACTGCTGCTTATTAACACTATGACCTTGATTGAATCACTTTCCTTTGGATTTTCAAATTCTGCTAAAATAATGATTCCAAGTTTCCATTTTTATATTTCTATTTCAAAGAAAATACTCACACTTATGGGTCACTTTCAGGTCAGTCACAGATGACGAATAAATAATCAATTGATTCTCTGAACCAATGTTACAATTTGGTGACTGAGATTAAAATGAACCATAGCGGCTTCAGTTATTGAGAGGAGAATGATATCAGATTAATAATCAACATTTGTCTTTGTAGTGTCCTTGATACGGCATAGTTTCCAAACTACCTATAAAATACTGCACTTATATTTTCCTTCCTTCTTTTGTAAATCTCCTTGCTTTGAATATCATATTACATTAAAACACTCCTTATTTCAGCCATTTTCAAATGTCAGTATCACTCTACATCATTTCCTGGAGATTTTATCTCTTGGCTCACTGTCACTCTCTGCAATGCTACTCTAGTCACAATTTTTTGTAATTTCATTATCAACATGGATGATGCTTCAAGCACCCTAAAATTTCATTTCTTTTACTTCTTTTTCCAAAATGGTTTTGTCTTTTACCTTATCTCATCTCTCTACTCTGATATATGAACATTAGACCCTGTCATAAACAAAGATGTGACTACTCCATAATTTCAATTTCTAGAATCCCATTCTGTCTACAATATCCAGTATTTGCAGTTCATTTCTTCCAGTATCCTAATTATCTCCTCCCCACCAAGGCCCATTATCCTTAGTAAACTTTTACTATACCTTATCCTCTTGTGCCTTTTTTTTCTGAAAATGCTTAAATTACACAGTTCATCAGTATAATAGTCATTATAACTATTTGTTAATATCTGATTTTCCCCCACTCTTGGAAAACTAGAAAGATTACTTGAGGTTAGGCAGGGCCTTTAATGCTGCTAGGCAATTATATTTCTGTAATTCCCTACTGTGTCCCACTGTCACAGAAACTGATTTTGTACAGGGGTGGGCAAAAGTAAGTTGACAGTTGTGAGTATGCAAAATACAGTTTATTGTATCATTTTTCATTAATTATTGCATTATTTTCCATATAAACAACTGTAAACCTACTTTTGCTCACCTGTTTATTACCCTTCCATTTCAAAACTTTAAATATCCAATACTTCCTTCTCAACCTTTACTCTCAGCTGATAGCATTGCTCAAAAATAAAAAAAAAAAAAGAGAGGGAGAGATGGAGGGAGGGAAGAAGGAAGGGAGAGAGAGAGAAAGGGAGGAAGAGATTGAGGGTGGGAAGGAAGGAAAAGGTTCTTCACGAGTTATAACATATATCTTTTCCCATAAATGAGCATATATGTTCTGCCTTCCTGTTACTGAATATGGACCCACAGCGGGGGGCGAGATACTGTTACCAAAACAATGCTCCCTTTCCATGGGGTCCCTCTGTTCTAAGTTATTTGTCCACTGTCACAGGTGGGCACAGGTAACCAGGTTCTTGGGGATTGTGGACAAAAAATTGAACCGAACACAGAGTTTATAGCAGAAACAGAGAGAAAGCAGATTTATTAAGCCACACAGACCATGGGAGCAGGCCAACTCTGAGCAGAGCAGAGCAGAGCCTAACAGCCCCGACCTCAGGAGCTAGAGGGCTTTTATTCCTTTAGGGTTGGTCTCCCATGATTTCCTTCATTGGCTACTGGGAAGGGAGTCCCACAAAGCTAATTTATTATAATGATATTATAATGAAGCAGGGGTCAGGTAGCATCTTCTGTGCAGGGGCATTTCAGATTCACTAGGATTCAATGCTTTTCCAGAAAGCAGCAACTACCAGTCTTAGAACAGGGTCTCCACCTTTTATCGATGTTCTTTATCTTAGCCCTGGGGCACTTCAGGAGTTTCTCCCTTCCTGACTATCTCCTGCCTCACCACCACCCTTAGAAATTATGGCTCTTATTGGCAGAGTTTGGTGAAAAGGAAAGGAACTATTTATTCAAAAGTTATACAAGTTTTGAATAATGGTTAAATGTCGCTGTTAAAATCTCAAAACCCTTTTAAAATACCCACCAACACACACAGTCCTGCATTTCCCCCCTTTGCCCAGTCAGGCTTGTCAGGCCAGTCGGAGTACCATCCTTCAGAAGAAAAAGAACAGAATTCCAGAGCTCAGCTAGGCAGGCCTCTCGTGTTCCCAGCACCACCATCTACGACACTACAATCTCCAGTTCTTAATCCAAAAACACGTGGCACTTTCTCATGGCCCGCTAGCAAGAGTGCTTTCTCCCCTTTCCTTCCCATATGGTCTTCACATTGTTCCCCAGAGTCTGTGTCCCATTGTCTCTCATGCAGGCCCTGTCTCCCCCTTTCCAGTTATATCCTTTATTAAAGTTTATGCAAACCTTCCTGGTTAACCTTGTTGATATGCAAAATAGCCATCTTTGCATATGAGGTATGAAGCTTTCCCACTGTTATTGACATGCAACATAACTCTCAATGACCCTGCTCCCTGTCTCCAGGCCCCACGACAACCCACCTTGTGGGGGGCAGTGTAGGAGAATATCTTATATTTTTCTTGGATACCCCAAGTCCTGGACCCCATTACAAATGCCCTTTGGGGGACCTAGCTGCACCCTGTTACACCGACCATACATCCACTTGTAGCTATAGCCCTTCTTCTATGTTCCCTTAACACCAGTTCCTCAAAGGACTCAAGGTCTCCAAGTCCTCTCCGCCCATACTTTCCGTGGTCCATTCCAATCAGAACTTGAACCTCATCATTACACCAAAACTGTACTAATAAATGTTATAAATAAACTCCATTTACTTAAACTTGATCATTTTCTCACTCCTCATCTCATTTGCTCTATCAGCAGCATTTAACACAGTTTATCATCTGTCTTTGCATAATCTCCTCACTTCGCTTCCATGACATCATGCTATACTAA